GTCTACGAAATGAAAACAGAAGACTTTGCGATTTTGTGGGAGTCTTTTTTTTTTTGCTTATTTGGCTCTTGCCGCTAATAATCCCCGTTCCACAGCCTTGCTGTTTTTTCGCCTAGAGCCTTCCGATGCTTTTTTTTTCATTTTCTTTTCTTTCTCCAAACCCCATGATCCCCCTTCCCAGACTGGGAGAGAGGTTTAATTTCCTGTGTGGGGAGAATCCTGCAGAGATTGGGAGGAGACACTACCGTTAACCCTTGTTGGGCTTCGTTCTAACTGAATTGCTGTCTGCGCACGGTGCAACACGAGACAAAAAGTAGTTGATATACAAGGTGACTAGGTACCTCCCAGCTGTCCCGTTTACTGGTCATTGTGTAGAAGTATTGCACTTGCATGGGGCTAGCATAGCAAAATTACAGTAGCCATTCTGTTACTGCAGTACAAGCATAGCTGTGTAATAATACTACTGAGTGCAGTATTGGGGGTCTAGTTTTAGTCAGAATAAGAGATTTGGCGGTGCTCATTTCAGATTGCGCAATGAGTATGGCCTGGCAGTGGGGAAAGTGAATAGCATGGTTGGGTGAATTGGGGGATCGCCAGCAAGCGAAAAGAGGTCCTGATTCCCCTAATATAGATAATTATAAGGTAGGATCACCAGCAGGAGGTCCTGATTCCTCTATATAGATCCTTAGTTATCACTAGAGACATCTCCAGCAGGAGGAAGGAGGTCCTGATTCCCTTAGGCCTGGTTCACACCTAGGCGTATTCCATATGCGCGTCTGTCCCGCGGTTTTTTACCGCGATTTACGGTAAAAATCGCGTGACAAACGCTCGTTTCCGAGGGCTACTAGGCTGTGTCCCAATGGAAACGCGCAACAAAAACGGCCCAAAGTAGTACATGTACCTTTTCAGACGTTTGTAGCGCGTTAGGGACGGGCTGAAATACGCCAAGGTGTGAACCAGACCCATTGAATACAATGGGATTTAGATGTTTGAGCGTTTTGTACAGCGTTTGTCGAGCGTAGAACGCGCTACAAAACGTTCAGGTGTGAACGAGGCCTTACATAGATCCTTAGTTATCACTAGAAGGATCCCCAGCAGGAGGAAGGGGTTCCTGATTCCTCCTATATAGATCCTTCGTTATCACTAGAGGGATCCCCAGCAAGAGGAAGGAGGTCCTGATTCCCCTATATAGATCTTGGACCTCATTTAGAATACCATGTCCAGTTCTGGGCACCTCACTTGCAAAAAGATGAGGATAAGATTGAATATTTCCAGAGCGGGGGGGGGTTGGGTTTGGGAGAGAAAATGGTGAAAGGTCTGAGGCAAAACAATTCAGGAGAAACTGCAGGAACTAGTAAAGGAAAGGCTGAACTTTTGTTTTTTTAAGAAAAGTAGTTGATGGAACAGACCTCCAGGGGAGGCGATTGACCAGTCTACAGGAAGTGAATTAAACATGCATGAGGTAAACATAGGTCTTCAGACCCTGTGGGACCTCTTGGTCTTTTTCTGTCATTGGTCTTCACATGCATTACCCTTTTTGTATGTTCTAAGGTGTCGATGTTTCGGGAGGCGAATAAGGTGCTATTTGTGTTTTTTTTTGAGGACGTGAAGTGTGGAGAGGCCTGGTCCAGCCTATTTAAGGCGCACATAAAAGGAGCCCTTGGACCATGTCTGCCGTTGCCAGGTGCATAAAGCACCCTGTTCTTTGAGGCTTCACCAGCTGTTGGTGCGAGTTCTCACTGGTGCATGTGTGGCCGAAGGGCCTGGTAACCGCACAACTTGTGTGAGCGAATCCTGTGCTCTCCAGTTGGCCGTCCAGTGAAGCATTAAACCGCCTCTCCAGAAACGTTTTCTGCAGCAAGCCTGCTCCGTGTCTGTCATCCTGGAGTAGAAAAATACAGTTTTATGGGACCGAGACAAATGGCTTTATATCTACTCGCTGCTTTCAATCCCGCACTTCAAAACCCCTTCCAGTTTATAGCTGGAGACCCGTCCAGAGGTTAAAAAGAACGTTGTGGCCATTTTCGTATTAATTTCGTTTTTTGTGTTGTAACATGTGCAGCTGTCTCGTTTTGACAAATTGTGTGCTCCTGTCCATGAGGAGTCTTCTCGGTCTGTCTAGAACAGGGGTAGCCAAACTCTGGCCCTCCAGCTGTGGTGAAACTACAAATCCCATGATGCATCTCTCGGAGTCAGGTCCGTGGCTGTGAGAATCTTGCAATGCCTCATGGGATTTGTAGTTCCACCACAGCTGGAGGGCCCATTTGCACCGCAACACGAAGGTAAGCGTTTTTGTGCGTCTAGGCACGTCACGCTAAGCAGCCCTGCCAATGCACCTCAAGCTACAAGGACATAGTTAAAACCTCTTGCTATGTGTCCTCACTGGGTAGACTTACCTTTGCCATTGGACCAAAATTTAGGGAAAATGCTAAATTTTGAGTTGCCACAAATGGTTGGGTGGAGGAAATCCTCCAATGGGGACACTGGTCCGGTGCTGGCTAAGGGGTTTCCTCACTTCCTGTCATGTCTCTAGGAAAGGAAGGGAAGATCTCTCCTAATGCCCTTCTGCATTCTGTCCAACTTGACTTTAAAGGAGAACTATAAGGTGAGTGCTTTTCACTCACCTCATAGTTCTAGCCGACCTGTGACAATGAGACTGTCACAGGTCGGCTCAGTAGATCGGGAGGTGAGCGAACACATACCGGCATTCGCTCACCTCTCGATCCGGTCACGGCTCTCTGCTGTGACAGGGGAGGGGCTGGATTCCACGCTCCCATACGCCAGTGCTGACTGGTGGAACGGGCGGGGGAGGAGGCAATTGTCGGGATCAGCTTCAGCTGCGGCGTCTCAGTAGCTCGCGGTATACTGAACCTAGGGTGACGGGAGGATGCTAGATTGTGTCCTCCCCGTTACCCTAAGGAGAACTATGGGGAAAAGCCTTAACCCCATAGTTCTCCTTTTAAATATACTTTTAACAGACATCAGTGAAGAATTGCAGTGGTATCTTGCTGGAATGCCTCAGTAGTTGCCCCGTAGGGCTCGCTTGCATACCAACAAGTGGTATAAATGTGAATCGTAACCTGTGTTGGTGCGCTTTAGATGTGCTGGGGTGCAATAAACGATCAATGCAAGTCTATGGTCTGCTACAACACCGTTGCAAATGTTACGAGTTGCCGTGAAAATATGGAGCAGATCCCCCCTTTTTTTTTTTTTTGTGTTGAATCTCCTGACTTATGCAACGCGACTCATTTTCACCTGAATGGGCCCATAGTGTGATGAGGAAGCAGTCTTACTAGCTCAGCGTTCCACACCAGCATGAGGACGTGTTTCAGGAACTTTCGTCATGGTTCCCAAGCCGTGTGTTTTTGGTCATCTCCTTTGCTAGCTAGCAAGCGCTGAGAGTTGCGGGGGCCTCATACGCGCCCCGAACTATCCGTAGATCCAAGATAAAGAAGCCGGTGGCACTTTGTAAAGTCCTTAAGTGAAGCTTTATTGTTCCAGATGAGCAGCACCAGGTCCCAGGCGGGGTTTCCTGTTGCTTGTCCAGAACAATAAAGCTTCACTTATGAAGGATTTGTCCGGTGTGCCGCTGGCTTCTTTTTGAAGAGTTTTTTGTTGGAGGAGAGGGTTGGCGTTCCTGTCTGATGCCG